AACGAACGCTCGTAGGCCGACGTAGCTCGGGGCAATCGACAGAGAAGAGAAATTTCGATGCGGCTCGCGCGTTTGTTTGTTCCCGCGAGCTGGCCGGGTAATTCCTAAATAATTACGCTTTTAATTAGGTAACGGGTTGAAAACGGGTTGCTAATTTTCATTTAATTTCTGCCTTGTAACGCGTTCTATTCAACGTTGCTACCACCAACCAGGTTGGCCAGGTTGCCGGTTGGAAAATTTATTATCGCGGACGCACGTAATTGAAAGTTGGCGAATATTTCACGAGATATGCGAGCAATTTTATCCCCCCGAATCCTTAATGAAACCTTATTAACTGTTATCGCGGCTATAAATCCTCGGGACGATCAAGGATCCCGCGCGTTTCTCTCCACAGCGTTTTTAAAATCATCATCCCGCAACAGGAAAGGTTGCTCTTGTTCGTGGACATCGCGCGGTTATGAATTTCGGGCTAGAAAACTCGGAAAATCCGCGTTCGTTTCCGACGATAGAAGCAACGATAGAGTCGATATTCGAATTCGTAACAAGTGCCTATACACACACATATATATATATATATATAGAGGCTGGGAACATTTCGCGATTCTATCCCCGCGGCTGTTCGTTTCGCGCGCGGTTCTTCGTTCTGCATCGGTAAAATCCGTTGTTAATTAATTCACAAACGCACAAAGTGAATAGCAAATCGTCGCTCACGAATCCCTGTGTTAGCGGTTTTATCCTTCCACGCATTACGATATATATATATATAATATATCTATGTACACACGGGATGAAAATACAGTTGCAACTAGTAGGGTGGAAAGACAGGTATCCAAGGGAAATAGAAGGGTGAAGGGACGGAGAATGGGATGGAGGGTAAAGGGTAGCGTTGCTCCGAAAATACGCACTTCGGGAATACATCAAAGGCAAAGTCGGACGTGCATATTCACTCGCCTACGTTAATTTGATTGTTCTGTTTATTTCTGGTAAATGAAATTAAAATAGCTCTACTTCTCTCCGGAGTTTCGGCGACAGAGGGAAGGGGTGAAGCGAAAGAGAGAGAGAGAGAGAGAGAGAGAGAGGGAGGGAGGGAGGGGTGAGCGGAAAGAGAAAAAGAGAGAAGGGTGGACCGTGGAAGCTTATTGCGACTCCACCTTTTTAATTAAAGTTTGAAACTGAACTAGCGCATGCAAGAGGGTTCCGTGGCTCCGAGCGAAGAGGAGTACGGCACATAAAATAGTCAAGTGTAGCTTTCTTCTCGGCCGAGCACTGTCATCCTGCTTGTTTGACATTCCTGCCATTATAAAATGAATGACGGTGCAGCGTTATCCTCCTCCTATGTACCCTTCATTTACTAATGAAATTCAGCGAGTTTGATCGTTTCGATCGGATCTCTAGCGGGGATTCGTGGAAATTTTAGTTTAATTTTCTATCCGAAATTTTTGCGATTTAATCGAATATTTTTATATCGCGGGAATTTCGAAGAATTTCTTCGCTATTTACGTTGAATAATGAAATATTAACGAAATTTTAACATTCTTGGAAACAAGGTTAATTTACGTATCACATCCGTATTTTACGTATTTATTAATAACGAAACATAATACGCATCGTTAATCCTTCCATAATATTACCTCATTTTTCAATTAAATGAAAACTAATCAACGAAAATCACATGTTAAATTGACAAACGTTACATCACCATGGTAACAACGAGTATTCACGTGATGCATGAATAAAGTGCAATTCGCTCAAGTGTCCCGTATCTAATTCACCTTCATAAGCTTTATAGCGGCATTGTGTCGGAGCCTGGAGCAACCATTAATTTCGCTAATGGTTAATCAATAAACAAGCAAGTCGCGAGTGGTATTCCAACGGCGTGTTGTACGTGTGTTCCTATGCTTTTGGTTGATCTACCGTTCGAGGACGAGAGAAAGAGAGAGGAGAATAGACGCAAACAAGACGGTAAATAAACCATAAACCCGCCCCTGACGAGAGGGCATAAGAAAATAGGCACCTGTTCTACTCGATGTTCCGTGCGCACGAGCGTTTGAATGCCAGAGACGGAGGTCGAAGCTAGAAAGAGAGAGAGAGAAAAAGAGAGAGAAGAAAAGAAAGAGCAACCAAAGACGCGAGAAGGAACAGGAAGAGAAATTATCGCGGTAGAAGCGCTATTTGTTATCAGTGCGAAGTAATATAATGGCTCATATGGCCGTTGATTGATGTTCCTACATTTATACAAAGTGTTCAACCCGATCTATATTCAGCGAGGCATAATTTAACTTCAACCCCGTTCTTTGTTGCTCGGGACGAAACTTCACAGACGAAGAATAATATCCTTCGATGTCTACCGAAAATTTTCTTTGAACGATGCGAGCGAGGGAAGAATCGGTTCGAAGGAAGAAAGGAAAAGAATCCTTTTAAATTCGCGCATTAAAATGAAAAAATTACTTGGAGAGAAAACGGCATTCCGCGAATCGTTTCTTTTATTTCAAGCGTATACGCGTCGGGTCGAGGTGGTAAAAATAATATAAATAAATAAATATACGCATTCGAGGCGATTTGAAAATGCGTCATTCAAGTTGCAATTCACGTTCCCGCGACAAAGAGAAGCAATTTTCGCCGGAGCGGCGGCAATATGAACGTAAATACGCCGATTACACGCGATTAATTATTTATGCGGTGGCCGCTTTATTATCGGTGGAAAACGTTTGTAACTCGTCGATTGTGCGAAACCGGCGTTCCACGAAACACGCGTATTATCTTGGAAAGATTGGACGACGGACCGTGTCCGCGAGCGCGAGAAGAATACGAGATTTATAAACCAACGCGTGAATGGATAGCGATCGTATAAGTGGTTGGTAAGGAGTCGTTGACATGAAGTACTAGTTTGAACGTAGAGTGACGTGCATGGTACACACTGTGTTACGCGAAGAGAATCGCTTATCGTGCGGAAGCAACCAGTGGTGCAGCAGTTTCCACGTGGCCTTATGACAAGAATTATGTCTCGTAACGATTAATATCATCCGGACGTGTATAACGTAGAATTAAGCGAGTCCGATATATCTCGAAAAATAATAAAGATGGAAAAAATTATTTACAAAATGATCCTGGAAAATTTTGCGAGAATCACGTTCGAATTTTTAATTGGAATTTCTATATTTTAACGTATATATTCTGGTTAAAATATATCTTGAAAATACTGTGTATCCTTTTTATGAGTTTAAATCATTTTTTCGTATCTTTCATATTTTTCGAATATTTCAACGAGTTTATTTAAATTGTATTCACTGTGTATACGTGCGAGGACGGAATCGTTCTTGTTATATATTCGAGAGATTCGAGAAACGGTGCACGGATGTTCTTATCCTTTAGTTGTGATACGACGCGAGATAAGTGTACGAAACAGTTGCTAAAAGGTAAAAGATACGAGGAAACGCGAGTGAAACTTTTTTCGCGATTTTTCTTAGAACTGAATTGTGGATACACAATTCTTGGAATTCTTATTGTGTACGAAAGTGAGTGGAGCTAGAGATAAGAGTTTCTTAAATACGCGAAATGTTGTGTTTTTTTTTTTTTTTGTTTATATTCTTGTTATATTGCGTCTATTCGTATGCTTTCATTTCGTATTCATTCGTGATTATTCTGATTTTATTTCGTATTTTTATCGTCGCGAATAATTAAAAATTAAAATGAAATTAATAGCAGAATAAATTCAACGACTTGTATTGTGAATTATTTTGAAATCATTATTTATTTATGAAAAATTTCGGAAGAAAGTATTTTAATATTTCGCTTTTAGTTTCTGGTTCAAAAAATGTGAATATTCTACAGTTTTTTTATCGTCGAATGGAGGAAAAAATTATTTCAGAGCAAATATCTCTGAATAGAAAAGCAGAGTTGGATTTTCCATAGGTACTAATTGAACGAACCTCGTCTACTTAAATAATTTAAATAAAAAGCCGTTTCGTCATAATTCTAGATTATTCGAAAATTAATATACAGAGCTTATAAAAGAAGAACTTTCTTATTCTCATAATTGTAAAATGTAATAATAATATCGTATTTAATTGCAAAAAGCATATTTTTTTTTAATAATATCTACGAAATTTAGAAATAAGATAAAAAAAATTGTATTATATATATATATTTCATTATTATATATTTCATTATTTGAAAAAATACGATTTAGAGAGCAGTTGGGTCGACAGATTTATGCGTATAATTCGTGCGACCGTAGAAAAGTACGTTACACATTCTCAACCGTTTTCATTATATATTTTATTTCATTATATATTTTAATTTATTATAACTCATTATTATTATTATTACTATACGGAATACGGTTTTTGTATAATTACTTTCTACTCTATTAAAAAAGAAATAATCATTCGATTAACAGATATCTGTTAGAAATATTTTCAAATGATATCGCCATTTGCAATTCGATAAATGGTTGAGAATGTGTAACGTACTTTTCTACGGTCGCACGAATTATACGCATAAATCTGTCGACCCAACTGCTCTCTAAATCGTATTTTTTCAAATATTTGTACAAAAATTTTAAGAAATCCTTTGAAAATAATATCATCTTTTCCTAATTTTAACAATAAATTGTCTATATGTAGAGAAATGAAAGATATAGAATGTATTTATGCAATTGTAAAACAGAATATACATCACGTAGCATATACTTATGCCGAGTGTGTCACGAATACGAATACGTTACACGTTCTAATATACATGAAACGACACACATGTATCACGCGCAGTATTCAAACGGAAATTCAACTTTATCGGTCTAAGAATATTGGCAGGAGGTAAAGGAAACACGTCGCCTTGTGCACGATCAAGAATTCTAAACCACGCGTCAGAATGGAAGTCTGTCGAACTGTCAGTAACGATTGGAACTATCCTTCCTTCATAAAACGGTCGAAATGGTGTCGAAGAACCGAGGAAAGCAACGAAAGTGAAAGAGAAAATAAAAAAAAAGAGACACTCACGTTTGGTGACAGCAAAAGTAACCGGTGTTCCTCGCGTTTTTGCGTCGCAGAATGCGTAGTATTGTTGATTTCCCCTTCCTCGTTCTTTCGAGCACTGTCTCCTTCGTTATGTTGCAAAGATATAAAGTATCACGCGCGTAACGTATAACTTCGCGACATGACACCGCACAGAAATCACTGATAAAAAGCTGCGAACGATTCACGATCCCCGAAATTACGTTTTATAAGACTGTAAACGAATAAACGTGCTTGTACGGTTTTCGCGCGTTATCACGAACGAGCGTGGGTACGGCCAATCGACGAAGGCAATGCGTACCCCTCGCGACCCCGTGACGAACTGAGGATCGCGCTGGCGGCGCAGCGCCACCGTGACCCGTGGCGACACCGTAAACTAAACTTGCACCCGTATATACCGCCTACCGTGGGTCCGCACACGCGACTACGAAACGACTATCTTCAAAGTTTGAAAAAGTTACTCGTCCTTCGCATTTTCATTTCACGTGACACGATTTATCCGATCGTAAAACGAACAATTCGATCATCTTTGTAGTGCTTTTAAACTTTCGTTCGAACTCGTGCAATGGATGGATCAACGGATCACGAAATATCAACATGGGTCCAGGTTATCTTTGTAAATAGAAACAATTGTTCTAATTCTAATTTCTTTTTGCTAATGACGATTGAATTTTCATGACTTTCAAAAACACGTAATGATATTGTCTATTAACGTAATGAACAATCAACGTGATCAACGTTTTATGTATTACACGTACGTGTATGTGTCCGTTGTGTGTTCTTAAACTACGTAAAAGTGATTCGTGCAATCAAAACGAAAGACGATATAGGTGGAGACACTAGATGATAGTTATTAGCAACCATCTTGAATTTCGACGTTAGGTTAGAAGATTAAAAAGAACTAAAAAGTGATTCTACGTTTCTAAGAGATATAAATACAGTTTTATTTGTATCATGGTTAAAGAAGTAACAAGATATACAAGGAACAAACTAACACGTACATGTATAAATTTATAAGGTAAGAATTTGATTTTATAATAGTCGCAATTTCTTTGAGAAAAAATATGTACCTATAATTTGTATCGTACAATGTGTCCATATAAATCAACTATTTTTTGTACTTCTTTCATATGTCTTAAAACTTTGTAAATAATCGTATCGTTCGATTTACGAGACTCGATCTATACAGCTATCAATTCCTCCACAATTCCCCCGTTGCTCTCTTCCATAAAAATTTAACAATGAACGGATTTCAAAATTCGAACGCCGTGCTTCCAACGTCTATCTGTCATTTCTCTTTTTCCTCCTTTTATCTTTTACTATATCGACCAATATATTTCCACGAAACACAATTTTACGACTGACCGTGGTTTTTCATCCATAATCTTTTCTTTCTTCGATTGGATTTTCGTCATTTCAAATGAATTCGAGTTACCGCATCGACTTCGTTATTACTCCGTTTTCATGACTGTAACTTCGTATATGAGAGACTACGCCGTATTCCTTCTTGTACGCGTTTTACGATTCACGGTAGACCCCGAGGTCTGATTCGGTTCGTCTGGCGCGACGAATGTCAAACGTCGACGCGAACATTCAGCGGCTCTGTAGAGGAACGAACGAAGCGTATAAGAGGATTCCTTTCAAAAATGTATCCTTGGGGCAGCTCGTGTAACGGATGTTTTGACATATTAAAACGAAAAAATACGAGTAAAATTAATTTCATACAGAAATTCAATTTAACATATGTACTAATACATTATTAAAATAAGGTAGAATATATTACATTTTTTTTTCCTCTCTTCCTTTTTGCATAATCGAATACGAAAAAATGATTATATCGATTATTAATGATATCATACGAAATAAATAATCACCGGACCGGGAATTTTTATGCATATTCATATTTTTATGAACATAATTAATGAATCGGAATTCGAATAAAGATTATTTTCGTTCTTTAAATATTCCACCTAACTGATTATACTTAGCATATTTTAAATATCAATTTGCACGAGCATTCTCATAATGTTTTCACTCCAAACGTCTTAGACATTTATCGCGATATAATTTTTTCGACAAAAAGGGAAAAAAACAGGCAAAATTGTCGCGATGTAAGAACGCTTAAATTACGGTATTCACCAACAATGTTCACGCTTCTGGATATACGCCCCGGCATTGAAATGTCGCGGTAACGCGATTGTGAACAATATTGCATGTCCATGAATCAAGCGTACCCATTCGAGATATTGCCCCCTATTGGCTTGTGTATGATAATGCGTGCCGATAGTACGAAATCACTTCAGAGAATCAATCAGCAGACGTGTCGTGAGCATCTGAACGGGGCATAAGGCGTAAGTACTTGTACAACGCAAACAATCTTGCGCGCGACACGTGTATATATGTATATATATATATATATTCGCGAGGCGTGGTTGATACTCTCGTACGCTGACCTTATCCATGTATACACCCTCTAATCCCATTTAACTCGACAGGCTGTCGTCTTTAACAGTTTCTCCGACTCGTTCTCAGAAGTGTTTCCTTATTGCCGTCTTCTCGTTTCGAATCGACGGCCTGCACAATATCTCTCGCACGCGAGTGTAACAGTCGTAAATTAATAATTCGATCGTTCGTTGTAATATCGCGCTACGTGTTTCTCGCTCGACTCGTATCGATATCATCGATCGTAGATTCACGATGACACGATATACACGGGATAAGTATAATCGCGCGAGGGGATATAAGTCGTTTACTTGGGAATCGATTTTTTTTTTTTTTCGCTTCGTCCCCGCGTGATGCGATCAGAAATGTGGAACAAGATTTCCACGGAGTAATTTCTTCCTGATAAGTGGCCGGAGAGTCGAGCTTATCCGACCTGGTAGAAAAAGAGAAGCCGGAATTGTTTCTACGAAGTACACCGTCATTACACTCCTACCTTTCTTCCGGGAGCTTAGATTTAGTGGCGCGCGGAAATAAACGCTTTCGGTGTAGCGAACAACAAGAATCATTTTTTACGGCAGTGGCAGACTTATTCGGGCGGAGAAGGGAACTTTTATATTTCTGCTCAAATTGTATGCTATTAATTAGAAAGGGGATAACGGTTGAGAACGTTGAACGGTGGATTTACTTAATGTTGTGTAGGAAATTATTTTGTAAATCATTCTCATAATTGTAAACGGTTTGCAGGTGAAATTTTCTCGATATATATATATATATGTATATTTGGTTTAATTCGTAATGATCTTTCGAAGAATAGCTTTTTTTTTTATCTCGATGAGTAATTTTTAACGATTCGTAAATAACGCGAGAGGAAGCTGCACGGATTGAAAACTTTTTCTCGGGATTATAATTTGCGCGGAAATTTTACGCGCAATCCATTAACAAAAGCTGAAGATACGCATCAACGTATTATCGTTCCGTATGAAAATATCATTTTCAAGATAATGGCCTGTATTATAATTCGTAACCTGGTAGGAAAAATATTTAAATATCGTCAACTATTCGTCGGTGGTGTAACGTTGGAAAACCCGGATATTTTGATGTTGCAGTATTAAATTATATTTTCATAAGGGACTCTCGTGCACGTCATACGTAATACGAGCGTTTCGTTTCTATCCGGTTTAAAAGATAAAAAAAAAAATAAATAAAGATATTCAGCTGGTATATTTGACGGTGACTGCGCGAGAGACACGAAGAAATTTAACGATCCGCCAAATATTTTAGATCCCGGCCCAGTCTTGTTCCCTGCATATATTTAACCTTAATTTTTCTTGCCAACGATAAATTGGGGAATAAAAATCAATCCTTCTTTTTTCTTTTTTTTTTTGTAGAAAAATTTGAATTCTCGAAAAACGGAAGCCATTAATCATCCCAGGTTGTTCATTGTTCCTTTGCGCCTCGGGAAAACTTATCGCGCTTAAAAATCGTAGAGTTTCAAAGGTGGGCCGGTACGCGTTCGATATTTTGTTATGCCATTAATAACCACTGTCTCGCTTCTCGGTAACAGGCTTTCTCAATTAATCTATGTTACGAGTGTACCGAATGGCGAGGGGAATGTAAAAGCTCGAAAATTAATATTAACGCGTCGGGCAGAGAAAGCGACGTATCTGCAGACTGCAAATCGATATTTTACGTAGCCGATGTCAATGGCTAATGAAAACGTCGAATAATCCGATACCGATGTAGATATCCCACGTACTGCTTCGCTCTACCTCCGATACTTTTACGACGGATACTTATATTCCACTGGCGCTGATTCCGCTGACCGTACACGTTAGATCAACAACCTTGCCTTCTCCGCCTTGGACCTCGCGCCAATTCAGCGTAGATTCGATCAAACTTAATCGCGCCGCTTATCGCCCCAATTATACACCTATATATTATTCCCCTCCCTCTTGTATTCCCCCATTCTCTTCATTTTCTCGACGGGCGAAATGCTCGAAATGCTCGTTTCACGTACGAGCGAATTTTAAATAGGCGATATTGTTAACCGAAGGATAGTTTAAATTTCCGAACATTTCCATATTACCGCGCTCGCGGTCGCGAAACGTCCATTAAATGGTAGTTATTTATCGGATTGAATTAATAAAATAACGGGGGTATTGAAACGAATCGTGGAGAGAGAGAGAGAGAGATAGAGAAAGAGAGGAATAAACAATGAAACGGGGAATCAGTTTGTTCATTGTCATCGAACGAAATATAATCATTCACCGATTTAAACCGATTCCCTTAACAACCACCTTTCTCCCCGCCAATCTATCTATCGCCGCGTCCCGCCGCATCCAATCTTCGTGCATTAATTTCCTCTCCCGTACAATCTTTGCATACAATTATCGAAACGTCATTACCGTCTCTAATAGCCATTTTCGATTATTAATTCCGTATGAGAATCCTTTAATACGTAAAATCCATATATCCCGGAGCTTTGCGATAGCTTCGAAGCGTCATAATCGACGTTCCAATATTCCGGCCAGGATCGACGCGTCCTCGTACTGACGGAATCGAAAGTAGCATGAATTAATCGTAACCAATCCATTCGACGCGCCACAGAGATTCCAACCTGCGACGATTACTACACGGCAATGCACATCTTCTCGTGTCTCCTCTTCTGAAATTCTGAAATCCAGTCGTCGCGTCGCTTCTTTTTCCTCGACTGAAGGGAAGGGAGGGGCAAGAGGTCTCCGTTCGACTCCGGCCGAATTTACAGCGGCCTGCGTGCCCCATAAGTAACAACGTCGCGATGTAAACGCGAAATACCTCGCGGCGGGCGGTTACAGGCAGAGTGAGCCGCGGTGAGGGTTGACCTGGCAGCCGGATCGATCCACTCTACGTAGAACCTAGCCTCCTCTTTCACGTTTGTACCCCTGCGCCGCGCCTGCTTGCGCTGATGCCAGCCACAAGGTATCCCCGTTTTACTTGCCGACATTTCGTCCGATCCTGGCGAAATCTTGCGCCAGATATTTAGGCCAAATATTTCTATTACGTCGATCGCGCGTCCCGGACCCGGCATAAAGGCAAACCCTCTCTTTCTCTCTCCCTCTCTGTCTCTCTCTCTCTCTCTAGCCGCTGCGAAGTAACAAAGTGCGCGTGGACTCTGTATACGCGTCGAATCTCCCCGCGTGGAAAATTTTCAATTCGATTTAGAA